ACAGTTTTTTTTTTAAATCCAAACAAAAACCTGAGCTGACAGGACAGTATTCTTGCATTTGCTTTGATTAGGGTTTTGGTTTTCAGCTTGTGATACAGCAGCTGGTTCATCCTGCTTTCAACTGAAAAAAAAATGCTTAAGGTTATGGTAGTTGTACTTGTGTAGGCTGTTCTACCTAGTAGTCCTTGAAATCTTCCTGTAAATAATGATCTTCACTATGCTTTTTTTACAGCATAGAAAAATCACGTGCATGACTTCTCAGGAGATGAGTTGCAGAATGAAAAACAGAAAATGCAATCCTACTTCTTAATTCCTTTCTATAACACCACAAATATGCTGATATTTCTGTGCTACCACAGGGGAGGGTCCTAAGCTTAACAGTTAGTGATTTTTCAATGGTGTTCATGTAAAAAGGTGCTCAGTCAGCAGCTGGAGTTCACCAGCTGAGTGCTCTCTGTCTTTTAGCAGTTGTCAGATGGTGCTTAATTATATTGCACTGCTGTGGGCATTTGCTGTGTGGTACAAACAGCTGCAAAAAGCTGAAAAATGCTAGCAGAAAACTCTAGCAAATTCATCTAAATATTAAAATTGCTTTCTTTTAGGGGCATCTGGTTCTGGTCAGAGGAAAAACAAGGGTGGTAAAGTAAGCCCAACCAACTTTTCTTCGTCTACTCCCGGCAGTCGACTGGGTGGTAACATAGTTCTGCCAAATGGAGGGCTGACAATAAGGGACCCTGCCACTGGAGCCCAGTATGTGCAAATTCAGCTTCTTCAGGTAAGAGCTGAGCAGAAAAAATGTTCAGCTTCTCTGTTATCCTGACTTCCATTTATGGAAGAATTTAAGTGTTTGTGAACTCAGGTACTGCTGCCCCTGGATGGAGTCTTGAGCTCTGCAGTATTGTTACATTATTCCACTTCTTCTTTATAAAGTAAATGAGATGGACATAAAAATGTTCCTGCAAAAAGAAGTTTCAGCCTAAACTGTTATTTCTCTCATCTGTTGAAATAAAACTTAAAATTAAAAAAACCCAAAATAACCTAATAATTGGTGAGGGCTGATTAGTGGAGCATGGCAGGTAATAGGTTTTTTGCCAGGTGTGTCTGTGTAGTATACAGAGAAAGGGAAAGTTCCTTCTCCTTCATTGCTAACAACTCTGGTGTGGAGAGACGTGTGGGCAGAGTTCTCCATTGATCTGTTTTTTGATGGGTGTACATTTGTAACTTTCATGTTCACTATCAGCTTCGGGAAAACTTGATGAAACTTGTTGCATGTTTCTGAGTGTCGGATTTGTTGAAAGAGGAACCCTTCCTTCCTCTTCAGATTTTGCCAGTGTTCCAAGTTGATGAGGACAGGATAATAGGCTGTACACTGAGCTGGGTTCAGATTTAAGTTGCAGTTAGCTTTCCACATCTTTGTGGAGCTGAGCCTTACTATTACAGTGCAGTGGCTTTATCAGATATTTTAAGATTGTGAGACTGAGTGAAATTTGCCATATTGTGCTGAGATACCTGGGGGTTGTGTAACTTCATCATGTTTCTGCATTCACAGGATGATTCCCCAGGAGAGGGAGATCTTCCATTTCAGCTGAGCTCTCAGTCTTCCTCGTCACATTCTCAGCTTACAGTGGATTTACCTGTTTACATACTTCAGGTACAGCATGTCAAGCCACTGGGTTTTATTGCCTTGCTTGAACATAAAGACAGTTTACTGTGAGCACTCTCACATTCTGCATGATGAAAAGACCTTGTTTTCCATTGGGAGTTGAATTCCATTCTCTAAGAATAGTAAACAGAGAGCTGCACTGCAAATATATCTTGTGTCTGTTACCAACCTTTGACACATCAGCAGTGATTGGTTTTATTCCTCTGTTACTGAGTAATGAATAACTAAATGTTACTTATTTTTTCTGAAATGCCCCACCCTTATTTTCCTGATCCCATCCTGCAGATTCTAGGTGGGTCAAGAAAGGATCAGGATTGGAATGTTGCAGGCAACAGAAAGGGGAGTTGGGAAGTGGGAAATAAATCTTGAACCTAGATTTTGGAGTGGTGCCCTTAGGGGAGTGTCAGTTAAGTTTAAAAGCCTGATTAGGGACCTCATTTTTGATAGACTCTGCAATGTACCTATTCCTGTCAAGTGGGTTTCTCCTGGATAGAAAATAAATCTTTTTTGTTGAGGAGGGGCACTTTCCTCAAAACCTATAAGTACGAGAGAAGTGGGACTTTTGGCCATGGTAGAGAGTTAATGGAGGAAAAATTGATTTTAAATCTATTTCCATTAGTAATGCTCATCTGAAGTGTTCCATAGAAAAACTATTGCAACACTGTTTAGGTGGATCCCTGAAGTGGAAGAGCTTTGGGTTTCCCTTGAGCTATTCCAGGCTTTTCTCTGGGATTGAATAAATGTCAAGATAATCTTGCTGATAAGCACTGAAACCATCTAGAAATGAAAGTACTTAATGCTGTCTGTTTGCTTTAGCAGGAACCACACAATTCCACCGAAGATGATGCAAGTTCTGATAACTCTCAGTTCACTGGAAGCACAATAAATTTACAGGATCTGGAATGACGATTATTAAGAGCAGTACTTGAAAACAAATTGGGCAATCATGACAGAGTGAGATTACTGTGTGGGTCTTTTTCCAAGGAAAATACAAAAAGTAGGAAAACTGAAGTATGGTTGCACTCTGTGATTTGCTTAAGACAGTTGCAGCTGAAAGATTTTCTTTAAAAATGTAAATTCCACTTGATGTGCCTGTGTAAGATACTCTGTCTGCCTGGTGGTTGGGAGGCTGAGGCAGACTGCTGTACAGTGTTGTTTCAGGGAGAAGTACTTTATTACACTTCAAACTGAGGTAATATTTACTGTTTTCACAGGAAAGCAAGTATTCTACAGCTAACAAATGCAAATTTATAATCCTGCCTGCGACAGTTAAAACTTTCCTTCCATTGGTCTCCCCCTGAAGCCAGTGGCATCAAAATTAAGAGCTAAATTTTTCAAGTGTTTTCCACACACAAAGAAAATTATTGTTTTGGCCTGTGTTTGGCAGAAAACCAGAATAAAATGTCACATGTAACAAAATTAATGTTCTATGCCATTAAAATGAAATGCTCTAAAATCTTTGTTTTAGAAAGCTAGATTCTAAATGTTAACTTAGCTGTGAATCAGTTTGTAGCTCATGTTGAGTTTCTCCCTTTCCTTGCTCCTGCATCCCAAATACTTTGCTGAATTCTTCCAGCAAAACTTGAAAAAGAAAACTGCAATAGAACTGTACTCACTGTAAGTGATTTGCTAAGAGTCCAACAGCATCTGAGAGAGGTTTGTTTTATCTTTGTGTTCCCTTTTTTGGGAGGAATGTTGACGGTCATGTAAATTTAAGCACCTTGATTTTTATCTCATCTATAAACCGCTGCCAAGTTACCTGTGAACTGGTCACTACCTTTTTATTTAGGGTTGTTTGGTGTTTTTGTTTTGATTGAACACTTTTAACACCGATCTTTATTGTTATCCCAGAGTGTCAGATGCACCTGGAGCTTCTGGCTGGTTTACAAAATATGCAGTTGTCAGAGTATTTTATGAGGGGAAAAGAGTTGTTGCCCAGGAAGATTTGCCCCTGAAAAACTGCAGTTTCTCTTGGGGATGGGGGGAGAGGTTGTATGTACTCTACTTACCTGGATTGCAGACACCTAAATAAGTATAGGGTTGTATAGGGGAAAAAAAACATCTTTGGTTATGTTTTAAGGTAGTAATTTAATTGTTTTCTATGGTGATGTTCTGAATGCCTGTAAAAGTATGTATAGGAGTTTGATAAAAGACTGTACTTTTTTTTTATTCCCAGTGAGGTGGGTGTATGCACGTATGTGTATTTTCTTTTTTTTTACAAAATATGTCACAGAGGGGAACGTTGTGATCTTTTTAATCTTGCACATATTTATTTATTTTACAGTTATACTGATGTTAAATTCACATGAGGTCGTTCAGAAATGCTTTTACTTCCTGTGCCTTTTGAACTATGTATGTGTCCATAGAAATGCTTTTTTGATTGCAGACTTGGGGAGGAAAAAAGCTTACAGGTTACAGTGAACTTCAGCTCCTGATTTGTAGGCAGTATTATATCTCTGGTTGAACCAGCTTTATTTTTCTATCTTCAGCCTAACTGAGCACTGAGGTCTCTCTGTTCCTCTCACTCTGAGTTTACAGCTTACATCCAGGGAAAGTCTGAACCCTCTCAGGCTAGATTTTCAAACCAGTTGGTAGCTGGTTTGAGATCTACCTGGTGGCTGTGCCTGCAGCACGGAGTCCACTCCTGAGAGGTGGAAGGACTGAGGAGGAATTGTGCTGAAGGGTCTTGCTCTAGTGGTCACCGTGCTCTCCTTGCAAGCTGAGACTCCTTGAGCTCCCAATGCCTGCATTATTCTGTTCTCAAGGACCATACCAGTTTGTAATCCATTAAAATGGCCAAGGAACACTCCATCTTTTTATGGGACTTGCAACCAAATCTTTCTACTTCTGAAAATGTACCTCACTCAGCTTTGTAAGTGAATGTAAAGTGCTAACCTCTTGAGGGCAAAAACTTGGATCACTTGGCTTGGGCTCCATTGCTGGCAATGGATACCTGAAGAACTGGTGCAAAAGGGTTAATAAAGCTTTTTTTTTTATGGTCAGTTTGTCACTGGGTGTTGTTCTTTGCATGGATGCATCCGACACAAAGCTAGTTACTGGCAGCTCGATTTCTGCAGAGAGCTTGTGGTTTTCCTTTGGTTGTGTCTTCACCACAGTGTGGTAGAGTCTATAATGGCTTTGGACTGGAGCATAGCCCTTGGGTTTTATTGTCCTTCAGAAGACCTGTGATTATCATAAATGTCTATGAGGTACCTGCCTCAGCTGTGCCTTAACAAAGATTGTCAACTAGGACTGTCTCCTAGAGTAGATCCCACTGCTCAGGTTTGTATGGAGAGAGCTATTGGCATCAAAAACTGAATGAGAAAAGCACTGGTGCTTGAGAAGCAAAATGAGAGAACTTTTATTTCATTTCTTAGGCAAAATACCAAAGGAGGAGAAAAGGGTTGCAAACTCCTTGGAATCTTAGAGTAGGAGAAGAAGGAAATTTCATGGGACAGTAAAGTTTAGCTGAGCAAAGACTGACAGAATGTAGATCTAGAAAAGAATTTTAGAACAGCATCAGCCCTATGAGCTGTGGTTAAGGCTGTGTCATCAGGGGAAATAATACAGTTGTTCTTCCTTCTTATCTGTTTCCTTGGCTGTTCTTCCTGGCAGGTGGGTTGGAAGGCAAGGCCATTGTCTTGTTCTGCAGGGGAGGAAGAAGCTGCATCAGTGCTTGGTTGGGTGTCTGACCAGGCAGCTAAAGCTGCTCTGTGCTGCCAGGCTGGGAGGGGCTGTGGCCCTTGCCCTGTGCTCTAGGCAGGCTGCCGGTGTCTGCTTGGTGTGCTTTCTGTATTGGAAAGTGAATGTGCAACACCTGAAGGCTGTGTGTGTGCGCCCCTCCTTCAGCTTCTACTGTTGTACCTACAACTGCTTTCTGACTAAAGCCTCGTTAGTCCTGTGCCAGGAAGAGGATGGAAAGTTGGAAGTACAAAGAAACATCAGAGGGAGGCTACAGAGCCCTCTATTTTCTCTTGGCTAAAGGGGCAGGGACTCATGGCCCCTGCTCTTGAGTCACCTGTGCTGTCACTGTGACAGAACTGGGGTCTCCTCACGGCTATGTTGACCTGGGGAAGGTGCAGCAGCAGCCAGAAACTGCACTGGGCCTCTCAAGGGGCCAGAGCTGAGTTTGGGAGGATGTGGAACATGTCAGAAAAGGTGTGGTTTAATGTGGCTGAGCTGATCTGGGGTCTTGCTGCTGTTATCAGGAGTGTCCTGCTGCTGCCCAGTTCCTCATTTGGCAATGTTCGTGCTTGGTTTAATACAACCAAGTTAATAAGTTGAAATGAGCTTACTGAGAACTGGCAGGTAGTGGAGGGGGTCATGTGGCTGAGAGAAGGATGATGGAAGGACACTGAGCTGGAATAATGTGAACTGTGACTGACTTCCCAGCAGTGGCTTAAGTTACATCACTCCTGTAAACTGGGCTACATCTGGCTGTAGGTGCCATCCCCACACAGCTGTGGAGGCCCCTTAATAACACTTTTCCCTTAAACACTTGATATTCAGGTACCCCCAGCTTCTCCAAAGTGAGCTGTTGAGGTGAGGTGTTTCCACAGACCACTGCACTTACCTTTTTTCCTTCAGGTACCCGTGATCTTTCCATGTCCTTTTTCAATCCTTCATCCTGCTGCTGCTTCGCTTGCTTCTGCTTTTCCTCTCTGGGCCTTTTGAAGAGGGGGAATAAAGGATAGGTTAAACCAGCTTGCAACTACACCAGCTGTGCTTTTGACACACAGCGTCAACATCTAACTTAACATCTTACATCACACCTTCCATCTAACCATTGGAGCAGAGGGTTTGGGCACACCTGCTGCTGGAGTTGGCTGCTGTGAAGGGGTATGAAGGAAGAATTGTCTGCAGTTGGTCCTACTCTTTCTGGAGTGATGGGTGGAAAAAGCACGTCAGGCTGTGACACCGAGATGCTGGGGAGTTGTTCTGCTACAGACATGCTCTGCACCCCCTCAGCAGGTGACTCGTGCCCTGCAGCTGAGCAGGATGCTCCCCAGCTGTGGGGAGGGTGGTGCTTGTTGTATGGCCAGTTCTCACCAGTGTAACCAGGTCTGTGACACACAGGTGTGAGCTGTTACACCCACGGAGCTACACTTGGCCCAAAGGGGCACACTGGGGGCCAATTCTGTTGCTCCAGTTCCCTATGAAAATGAAGTGCTGGAACAGGAATGGGCTCAAGCAGTGGTGCAGAGAAACTGTAGTCTTAACCATGTGAATTTGAGGAAAATGTTTAATGCTCTTAGTAGGGCTTGTTGTGTTTTGGTTTTATTGGTGTTGTTTTTGTGGGGTTTTTTTTGTTTGTTTTTTGGAGATTTTTTTTAATTTTTATTTTTATTTGGGGGTAGGGTTTGTGGTATCCTTCCTGAATTATTCTCCTCAATCCCCAGCATAGAATAAATGTTTGTCTTACTTATTTTGCAATTTAAGAGGGCAAACCTAATCACAGAACATCAGGAAGAAGCACCATACCTTTCCTGCTACACAGCTGGATAAAGATGCAGAGAAAGAGAATTAGCAAAACCAAAATGTCACTGTCTGGCTTTAAATCCTCACGCTAATCTGTCTGATTCACTTGAGGATGGCCAGATACAGTCATCAGTTCAGTTATCTTTGTTATTTGCGAAGTGGAATTTTGTGTAACTGGGCCTACAGTAATGTGTCTCATCTTGGGACTTACACTGATTGTGTTAATTGCTACTATTTAATCTAGTAATACAAATTAAACTTAAAAGTTTTGTAGAAGAAACATTTCAAAGCTGGAGTTGTTGACAAATGCCCTTATGTACATATTAGTCTGACAAAATATCAGGGCAAGGCAGACTGTGTTGACTTGAGGTTTAATTTTCTATTTAGTTTACATTTTGTTACTGTAAATTGTTTTCTTAAAATGATGATTCTCATAATAGAATCTGTTTTTGTTTCTGGGTTTCGTGTTTTCTTTTTTATTCTAGATTTTTCTACTGTCGTATGCAGGTCTTTTCTAATGTAGCTGTGGGCTGCAGTTCACTGATGAGGAGATGCAAGTACTGTGAATGTAGAACCCTTACAGAAGTAAAATTGGATGGATTGCTCACATGGGATTTCAGATTGCTGCTACAGTTTTTTGAGTTGATTTGGCTGTTTCAGCTGTCAACACTTAAAATAGAGACTTTTCCAGAAGAGGGTCTTGCCTTACCTTGCCCTCTGTTCCTTTCTTATGGCTTTCACAGCCTTTTCTATCTTTGCTGGTGGGATTCTCTCCACGCTGCCCAGTAAATCATTGAGCTGTTTTTCTATTACCTTTAACATCTCTACTGTTGGCAGGTTTGTCTCATTGTCTCCAGTGCACTGGAAATAGACTTCCTGCACCTTCTTGTTCAGACTTGTGAGCATTTTGTCCTAGAGGTGACAGGAGATACGGTGAGTGGCACAGCTGGGCTCTGCCAAGTGGAACAATAATATCCCTCCAAAACCAAAGGAAATCTGGAAAGGAAACACTCTAATCCCCTCAATAAAACTCAATTGCTTGTTTCCTGGTTGGCTAACAGCAATGGCAGGAACAGATGGCTGAATCGAGCCATTCTCCTTGTCGGTCTCATCTTCCCAGTCTGGCTGTGACCTGGGTCAGGTGGCAGCTGCCCAGCTGTCTCTGGGAGTCCTGCTCCCACCTCGCAGCAGCTGCATGGAGCAGACACATTTGCCCCAGTTTGCTGCCTCAGCATGCCCCAAGCCAGCCTTGCTGTTAGCACCATTGCTGGAAACAGTACTGATCCCTCCTCAGTGCACCCCTGTATGCTCTGCATTGCTGTAGCTGCATTGCTGGGAAGCACTACTGATCCCTCCTCACCCCTGTGTGCTCTGTTCCCAGGATGGATGTGGCTGGTGGAGAGGGAACCACTTGTGCACATGTGAACCCCCCTTGCCTGGATCCCAGCGTGTACCTGGTCATCACCTTCGTGTTCCCCAGAGGAAAAGAGCTGAACTTTGAGCTTCAGGTCGGCTACTTTCTCTTCTTCCTTGGCCACGGAGGCTCGGAGGGTGTTTACCTGCTGTTTCAGCGCTGCCAACTCCTTCTCCCTAGAGGGGGGAGAGAGAGAGGAGGTGTTTGGGAAGGGCACCTCTGGAACACACGGCTCTGCTCTCCGCAGCCTGGGCTGGTCCCTCCTGCTGCCGGCAGATGGAGGTAACACTTCAGCCTTTCCTGGGAACTTGCACCCACAGCCCTGAAAACACGGGGAACTTCAGGGTTTCTTTATGGAAAAGCAGTTACTGTGTTGGTGTGGGGGGGGGGGAGAAGTAGCACAGCCAAACATTCAAGGTTTTTTAGTAAATCAGTGGGGGATCCAGATTACCTTTAAAACTTTCACAAGGAGAGAAACTACATTTTAAATGGGAATATATACATCTACCTGCCATTGACACTGTAGATTACAATGACACTGGGGTTCCCTACTGTCTTCCTCTAGGAAGGTTTTGCACTGAGTCAGCATTGGTGCTCTGGATCACTCCAGGAACTGCCTTCTTTCTTTCTTTGGTCTTCCTTCATGAGAATTACACTATACTTACATTGACTCCAGGATGCTTAATGCATCATTCCCTTGCCTGTGCCTTGAGGACTAAGGAATTAATCCTAAGCTCAAATCTTATCTCCTAAATTAAGCACATATGGGACACTTTCCTAGGAGCTCAAAGGAAGACCCTGCTGTGTGAACAGAATTACATGTGCTCTGCAGTGTGTGCCTGGTGAGGTGTCTGAGGGGGCAGAGGGGTCACTTATGTCTGAAAGCTTGACCACAGGGACCCCTTCCATCACCTGCAGGGTCACACTTACATGCTTTCATGTGTGGTGATGAAGGTCTGATGGACCTTGTTCCAACTGTCTGCAATATCCTGGGAGTTCAGGAAAAAGGATAAGTTCTCATCCTGCATCTCCATGAAAGTAGTAAGTAATTGTTCAGGATCAGTGAAGTAGAGCTCAGGCTCCTAGAGTGGAAAATACATGTGATGAGTTTTTTCACTCCTCTAGACTCTGTTCCACTGTGGAGGTTGGTCTGCACCAGCCCAGGCTATTCAAATGTTCTTCCAGCTAGAGAGGTCCATGTACAAACATACATGGACATCCTTCCTGCTATGTGTGTAGCTTCACTGTGCCTCAACAGCTCACCCCTAAAATAAATTTGCATTTTGGGGGGTAAAATGTGTTGCAACCATCTGTGAGTGGGAAAACTTCAATTTCAGACATAAGCCAGTAACTGCACTAATTTAAAAATCTTTCATTTTATGATGTCATATCTCACTGGAGGATGGCAAGCTTAGAGATGATGGTAGGTTTTTGGAAACTGAAGGAGGAAAGTTAATCTAAGGTATTTATAATACGTGTTGCCAAAGTGTGAACATTCATGAATGTATAAGCATACATTTATAATTTGTAACTGCAGTAACTCCTCAAAACTGTAACTAATGGTTACAAGGTGAGGGAAATTAGTAACATGATAAATGACACAGGACAAACAGAAAAGACAAATATTTCAACATAAGTCTTCTTACCTCATCTTCGTCTGAGCTGATTTCGCTCTCTGTGTCCTCCAGTGAACCTCTGAAAAAGCATTTTTTTGTGTTAGGCCTTTAGAGAAATGACAAATCAGAGGAGATCTCTAGTGACAGATGAACATTGTTATTGTTCATTGTTGCTGTTTACTCCGCATGTTCCCATCTTTGCCTCCTGTGGCTGTGGGATATTTAGGGGTCAGTAGGGTCTAGGGGGTCACACAAACAAGCAGCACAGGAGCCACTTTCTTCTATGAGCAAGCTGCCTTTGGAGCAGGCACATAGGCACTGACTTGCATATCTGACAGCTTTCTGCTGGTATCTGAGTTTGTTCCAATAAGCCCCAGATCTCAGAATGCCCAGCCAAGGTGAGCAGTAGGATTCCCCTGTGCTGATTCCCAGTCAGCTGAGTGCTCTTTTCACTCCTTAAGTTTGTTGTTGATATTGTCTGGTACTTACAGTTCTCTTGATAAAAGAGGCTTCAGGAACTGTTTGAGCTGTGGCCTGACATCCCGTGATCTGAAATCCAAACTTTCTGAAACCAGCAGGGACCTTGGCATATCCGTGAAAGTGACGCTATGGGCAGCGCTTGTGGGACCCTGGTCTGGAGACAAGAGGAGGTGTCCACTTAGAGCCAGGAGCTGTCCCAGGGAGGAGCAGCAGCACCTTCCTGACACTCACCCTGCTCTGCAGTGGGGGGACGTGGAGCATTTCCTTCATTAACCCTGGGTTCTGTTTCCTTATCCTTTTGTTTTTTGTGCCTTTTTCTGTGTTCCTCCTGCCACTCTTTTGGAGATAGCTGGTAGAGGATGTCCCTGTACATCTTGTACTCCTGCAGGGTGTCCTCGAATCTGGAGATATCACTGAGTTGAGAGAAGTGGACAAAGTTTGTTAGCAGGGAGGGAAACTTCTGTTTGAACAGGTTCTTTCTCACTCTTGATATTGAGTTTCATCCAGAGAAGGGAAGAGTGCACATTGTCATGGATATGCAAAGGCAAAAGGGAACCTACCCTCTGTGCACTCTGTTTTCTCATGTGGAAACTGAGAATCAGTCATATTCCCTGGTCATATCTCTTGCTATGGTACTGAGCTTGCTAATTTTTGAACTTTTACTTGAAAACGAATGAGAATTTTTTCAACTCATAATGGTAATTATACTTATTTCTTTTGTCTTTCCCTAGGTCCCCATTAAAATGCATTACTTTGTTTTGTTTGGATTTTAATCTGATGTTAGGCATTTAATTTTGGGTTTGGAATAGCTATATTTTTTTTTTTAATGTCATTAGAAAACTAAATGAGTGGTTTTAAAAACAAAGCCAGCATCTGGAAAACAAAAGCCAAAACATTTTGACTCTTAAAATGGAACACTTTTAGAAATCTATCTCCTGCAAGAACTTTGAAGCTGTAGCACTGTAGGGGCTGTTAAAGGTAAGGCAGGAGTAATGTGCAATCTTACCTTTGGACTTTCTTTATTTCAGTTGTGAGTCCCTGGATCTCTGTTATCTTCTTTGTCTTTGCTGAGGTTTCTCTTTTGGCTCTAGGAAAGGATTCACGAACAAGCCATTAAACAATTTAGTAGTGAGTAGTGAATTGAGATGTCTGTGAAGCAGTGAAAAAGATGTGATATGAGCCCTAGAAATCTGTGTTGTAGATGTATCCTAGGAGATGCTTGGCCCCCGCCTGAAGACCCTTTTATTCTTGGCAAAATTTGGCATCCCAGTGTTCAGACCTCCCTAGTCTGGCTGCTGCTGAGCATCAGTTGCAGCTCTGCCCTTGTGATACCTGGGCCAAAGTGCTCAATTTGCTTCCCTGAGGGGACTGTGAAGGGTTGGGCAGAGGCATCTCCCTCCAGTAAAGGGTGTTGTGGAAGAATGGAAGTGGGGGAGCCACCAGCAGGTTCCTTGCTGCCACCAGATCAAGGGCTTTTGCAATGAGGGTATTCCCTGGATGATGTTCTTCCTCTCTTTTATTGAATGTGTGGGAAGAAAGTGCCACCAGAACTGTAACTCTGGGAAACTCAGAGTTTTCAGCCAAAACCCTGCAGTGAGGTCAAGCAGCAAATCTCCAGTGCCCAGAATGGAATAGCACAGTGTTGGCTCCTTCAAATGTTCCTTACATTCTCAGTGCTTCAACAGATTTATTATGGTTCTCCTTCAGGAACTCATCAAACATGGCAGCATCCTTCTCCATCCCTCTCTCAGCCTTTTCCATTTTTTTTTCCTCGTCCTTTGCTATGTTCTCCATCTTTTCAATCTCCCCTCGCTTTACTGCAATGGTGTGCTGAAATGAACCCCAAAGATAACACAGTCACATCAGTTGGTTTATTTTAAAGGTAAATTGGTTTAGCTTTGTACCTGGTTACCAAATTCCCTGATAGCTGTGGGCAGAAAGGATTGCAAACTCAGGTGTGTGACTTGGTGCAAGCCAGGTAGATGGAGACCAGGAGTTATTTCAGAAGGAACACAGCAAATAAGCGGTGAATCTAAAGACAGAATTCAGAAGTCCCAGCACTGCATTAATTCCTGGCTGACAAAGATTGATTCAGCTGTGTTACAGCACAATAACAGAGGTGACTAATGGGAATGTTTGAGCATGGTTACTCCATTCCCTCATGTTGAGTTCAGAATGGCTCCCAGCCACAGTTTACGTACAGGACAGCAGGAGCCAAAGATCAGTGTATCTGTGCATCTCACAAATGGAATGGTTCCATGGTAGCTACTGAATGATGGGAATGGCCTACATTCCTTTATTTCTTGGCTGGGAATTACTGGGCCACAGATTCTGAGTGACTGTAAGGCAGGACTTGGACAGTCAGTTCATGTGTGCCACCTTGGAAAGATCTCTAGGCATTGATCTCAGGAGAATAAACATCAAAACAAAGCAACACAGGGAAGAGTAATTAAATGAACAGAAAGTAATATGCTGAAAGTCATGTACCTCAAGAAAAAAGATCTGTTTTCTGTCCTGTAGGTAACCATGGAAGGTCTCCCTGTCGAATGCATAATCTGAAATTAGAATATAAAGTTGCTTAGACTAGAGAGGGGGAAATATGGCCAAGGCAAAGCACAATGAATATGTAGGCTGCCATGAGCATGGATCTGGCTGGCATTGGAGTCAGCAATACTGATTATTATATTATAACCTTGTTTAAGATCAGTTTCATATAGATTTTCATGGAGTAAAACCAGGGAGTATGGAGTGGAGAATCTGGTCCTCGTGAACAGACATTAATGGCAAATTTACTCCTCATGTCAGAGGCAGAAAATCTGCATCTGTATCCATTAAAATCCAACTTTAGGTTGGCTTAGTAGAAAGGTTTCCACCACACAAGATCCTGCAAACACTCTGCTGGCTGAGCTCAGGGTTTGATCCTGCAAACCCTCAGCTGGCTGAGCTCAGGGTTTGATCCTGCAAACCCTCAGCTCAGCTTCTGCAAGGCAGATGGAACCCAGGTTATTGTGAGAAGGTGACCCAGGCTCTGAACAAAAATGCCTGAGCTGGAGATGCCTCAGCCACACAGGGGTTGGCAAGATACAGCACAGAACTGTTGGTCTGCATGACCTCACCAAAGCCAGCCAGAGCCAGCTGCTCTGCCCAGCCCCTCTTTGGCCTTGCTTTAGGCTGTCACCCAGCTAAGCAGCACCACTGCAAAGACAGTGCCTGTTCTCCACCTTTTTTCATTGCTAACTTCCATGAAAGCATCTCCTGAAGAGATTTCAGTCTCTCTTCACATGTCGCCTCTTTTATGCTCTCCTCTTCTTCCTCCTTTTTCAAAGCTTTCCTCAATCCGCTTTTTGCCTTCATTTTAGTGGAGTAAGTAGTTTTCTCATGGACTTTCATAGTCTTCCTCTTTTCACGTTCCTGTGAGAAGTCAGATATGTGTACAGTTTGATCCTGTGCTTTGCTGTGTTTTTTAAAGACATGAGTAAGTTATTGACAGCCTGGAAATCTGTAGTGGTGATACCCTGCTGATGCATATTTGTCTAGTTCATCTGACTAATCCAAATAACATTCTCTCTCAAGGCAACTGAAACACTACATTTCTTAGCACTTGTTGTCATTGTTTTGTTGATTTGTATTCTGCATCCATCCACCAGCTGTGCCAATTTGTACCTACTCAGTGTCCTCATTTTTCCTTCTTGGGTTATTGTTGTGAGCAAATGGAAATTTTCTGAGATTTATCCTTGGAGTTCCCTAGTTAAAGGGGGACAGCTCACACTTAACCAACTCAGTCCAACTTTTACAAAGACATTTAAACCATTAAGTTCAGATTGAGAGGATCTATTCAAACCCAGTCCAGAACCTTCTGGAGGGTAAAAGGTGTTCCTGCTCACTGCTTTCACATGGACTGAAGTGTAATTCAGTGCTGTCTGCACAGTTTGGACCTGGTTTATGGTGAGGACATCACTCAGCAGACATCCTTAGTGCACTGCTTCCTAAGCTCTTCCCCACAATTGTCTAGTGCCTTTCAACCCAAGCAAAAACCAGACTGTGTCAGTCACCAGTGTGAGGTGAGGAGACCTTGCTTTAGACCTCTTGCTTTCTTTCACACTATGCCAGGCTGTGCAACCCTGTGCAACAACCAGACCTGCCAGAGATCACAGAATCCCAGAAGGGTTTGGGTTGGGACCTTAGGGATCATTTTGTTCCAACACCCTGCCATGAAGAGGAGCACCCCACTAGATCAGGTTGCTCAAAGCCTCGTCCAACCTGGCCTTGAACACTTCCAGGGATGGGGCATCCATAACATCCTTGAGCAACCTATGCCAGCGTCACACCCTCACAGCAAAGAATTTATTCCTAACATATAATCTAAATCTTTATCTTTTCTCTTGTAGTTTAAATCCACTACCCCTTGTTGTATCACAATCTGCTTGTGTAAAAAGTTGCTCTTTTTTTTTTTTTTATAAGCATCTTTTAAGTATTGAAAGATCACAATCAGGTCTCCCTACAGTATTCTCTTCTCCAGGCTGAGCATCCCCAGCTTTCTCATGAAGAGATCTTTGATCTCTCATGCACTAAATTTTGGTATTCTGTTGGGTGGGTGCCTGCCTTAGTAATTGCGTGTTATATAGTTTAGCCTAAAGCATGTGTACATACCTCCTGTGCCTTCTTAATTTCGTTGTCCCTCATTGAGAAAAGTTCAGTATCTGATGGGACTTTAAATGGATTTTTCATTGGGGTTTTTTCATCCTCTGCTGTGCTTTCTGGAAAAAAAAAAAAAACAAACAAACAAACAAAAAACAACCAAAAAAAAAGAAACCCAAAAAAACCCAGCAAAACCTAAACAGAAAAAAACCCAGAATGAGGATGTAGAAGGTGTAAAGCTGAATATCTGGACCCAGTGCAAAGGGAGTGGGATGTGCTGTGTCACACCTGGAGTGCTCCCAGGTGCAGATGTCTAACAATGCTGGGTCAAGAGCAGGGAGTTGCATAGGGCTTCTGGGAAGCCAGTGACAAAACTGAGACCTCTGTATGGTTTGTCACTTGACCATACCTGATGATCAACAACAACACTTCAGCCACGGATTTTTCTGTCTGTAGCTGTTTTATCCATTTCATCTGTTTTGAGGCAGAAGAACCTGACTTCAGGCCTCTCCACTGAGCTGACAAGGAAACATTGCTGTTTCACATTGTGTCCTTACCTGACAGTACAAGGCGGGTTTCCATTTCGGGTTTGGAAGAGAGACTTTTAGATGTTGATGCTGTATGTCAGGATGGTGTCTTTGACCCTGGCCCAAAGAAAAGCATAAATTAGTCAGCTGGGATCTGCCAGTAGTTGATGTGATAAGTTTTACAGCAGTGATAGGCCTAGGGGCTTTCTGTATCTTAACCACTGAGCCTTTAGTGTCTGCAGCAATTAACAAAAAGCTCTATTAAACTGGAAAACATGTATGTTCTGACCTCCAGAAGGAGATGTTCATCCCTGCCTTATGTGAAAGCTGTGTAAAACACAGCCCTCCTTACATGTAAAATTATGGGAAAGCAACAACAAAACAAATTTGGAGACAGCAAGCAATCCAAGTCCCTTGTCTCTTTTTCCACCTAGTCACCCGTTCTGATCCACATCCATGCTTTTTCATCCTCCTGTCACTAGTTCACAAGCTACATTTTTACTCACTAAAGCTCTTCCCAGTTATTGCTTCAGTGTGTGGATTTCTTGCAATAAGCATGAATGATTGTACAGACACACTTTACAGAACATTCTTGCCTTTCATTTTAGGTTGGCAAACTGTTGAAGGTTATTTTTTTGTTTCTCTGCCTCCGGTCTTTTTGTAGTTTTTGCTATGGATCCTAAGGGACAAGGCATAACTGGAATGATCTCACTTACAAAGAACAGACAGACCATTGTTAAAGCTATCCTTTAATCATCAAAGGCAGCAAGCTGGGCTTAGTGAGGTATTAGTTCAGTTGATGCAATTCTGCTCCTGGCACCTTTTCTGACCTGCACTGCTACAAGATGCTGTAGAAAATATCCTCTTCTGCTTGCACTAGTTTAGGGCTATTTGAGCGCATCAGTTTTTGCTCTGAACAGCCTCCAGTTTTTATGTATTTTGCGCTAAACTCATCTGGCCTAATTTCCATGTCTGTCCTAGGTGCTTTGTGTATTTTCTGCAGCTGCCCAATTAGTACCTTATTCTTTGGAGGTGTCAAACTTTCACTGCTGATGAGACACAGAGGCTGAGGTAGAATTTAGACTTTTGAATATATCCCAAATGTTTTCTCTGTCCTTTTCAGTACTTGAAGTACATTTTACCAAGAACCTCCTTGACTGTTACGTAAGTTCAAAGCTCTCTGACTTTTGCTTAATGTAAGTGGATATTTATCTCTAGGGATTCTCATCTACATCCTGGAACAACATCATCCCTGCTGCTGATGTGAGTTTTGGAGAAAGCCCCATCAGGGCAGGGGTGGGCAGGCAGTCGGATGCCTAAGTACAGTTTGTGAACCTCACAGAGCAGTTGCAGCAAACACCTGGAGCCTCAGCCTTCAGTGCACACCTTGATTTTGTAATCTAAAACCTTTCTCATAAGAATTTTCTTCTTCCTGTGGTTGATTTAAATTCTTCCTACAGGCAATGGGTCTGAAAAGCAGGACTAGACATTGGCATATGGAAAGTAATTGTCAGTGCAACCCTCAGAGATAAAAAGTGCTTTATAATATCATTTTAGCTAAATATAGGAATCTATATCTATGATTAACTTATAAATATTAATTTTATTAAGATATTTTTTGTTTGGGGTTGCTGGGTTTTTTTATAGGTTGTTTGCACAGCACTTTGGAAATAATGCCAGAAGCTACAGAAGCACTAGCTCTGATAATTTTTAATTATTAAGCTCAATAAAGCAAATAAAAAAAGCTTCATTGCTAGAATCATTTGGCATATATTTCATTGCCTCTGACTGATTATATTCCAGTAGCTGTGTACCTGTAGTGCTTGAATCAATAGATAAGGCACTCAGGGTTTTAATTCACTGAAACCTTTATTCAGTGCTTTTCCCTAGCATCTAACTGCTGAGTAAAAAAAAACCAAAACAAGCAAACAAACAAAAAAACCCCAAAAATTAAAAAAAAAAACAAAAAAGAAACAAAAAACCCCAAATCATCAAAACAAAAAGCCAAAGTAAATATGCAGATGGATCTACAAACTAGTGCAATAAATCCATCTGCCATGTTCCCAGAGCAGAGGATGTCACACATCTGTCCCTAGCAGAGTTCTCTGCACACCCTCCTCACCCGCTCTTCCATGGTGTCTCACCCAGTGGTGTCACCCTGGGGTGTCCCTCTCACCCAGGGATGTCCCCTTCACCCAGCGGTGTTCCTCTCACCCAGCAGTGTCCCTATCACCCAGCGGTGTCACCCTGGGGTGACCCTCTCACCCAGGGGTGTCCCCCTCGCCCTGGGGTATCCCTCTCACCCAGAGGTGTCACCCAGGGCTGTCCCCCTCACCCAGAGGTGTCACCCAGGGCTGTCCCCTCACCCAGCGGTGTCACCCAGGGCTGTCCCCTCACCCAGGGCTGTCTCTCACCCCGGGCTGTCTCCCGCGGGCCGCCTCTGTTGGCGCTGCCATGGCAACGCTCCGCGGCCCGGCCGTGCAGCGCTCGCCTTGGCGGGGCCGGGCTGGAGCGGGACCGGCCCGGCTGGAGCGGGAGCGGCTCCAGGGGCAGCTCCCGGCGGCCCAAAACAGCCCCAAACCCGCCGGGATGCGGGGCTGCGGGGCTGCGGGGCTGCGGGCTGCGGGCCGGCCTCCCGAGCGGGCGGCTCGCTGAGCTCCCCTGTGCGTCCGAGTCCCCCTCGGAAAGGAACGAACTGCTCTGCTGGGAGCGGCCTCCCTGCCTTGCTGGGCTCTCTGTTCATTATTTCAGGCCTGGGAATTGGGTATTTAACCCTATGTCTGTCAGCAGAGGGTTGAAGAAATGGGAGGTGGGGTTCGTGTTTGTGGAATGAGCATAATTTATCATTTCCTGATCTCTGCCTTGGTCGTTTTGTAAAGTGTGAACAGCCACAGTTTGGCGAGTACATTTGGGATGGGTGAACACGCTGCCATTTACTGAATGTTGCCCAAGTCAAAAATGCTATAGAACCCCAAGTATCACCTTCTGAAATACTGTATAATTTTATAGAGGATTTGACAAAATATTAGTTGGTAAAAAGCACTATGTTTTCATACAGGGTAAGAACCTTAAATCCCCTTATTTAACCTTTCCCATTTCTGAGAAGACAAAATTGATTCCAAATGGATCATGTTCCTCTTTAGACCCTTTAGAATCTCTATTAATACAATTTCAGTTTTCAGAAATAGCAGTTTCTTTCATTTACTGATAGATTTCCAAACAGCTTTCTCTCTGTGAATAACTCATGCAATAAATAGCATGAATTTCTGTAAGTGCAAACTCCCATTTGATTGTTACAATTCTTTTCTGTAATTGCTGATTATCAAGAGACTAGATTCAGGAACAAAAGAAAGATGCTTGTACAGAAAGAAATTTTTCTTTATTCTGCACATGAATGCTTTGATTTCTAGCAGTGATCCAGAAAACCATTGTGCTATCTTTAGTATATTTTGGGGTATTACCCAAATGCATTGAGGCGTATGTATCAAAAATATTACAGAATAATTTCTATTACCAAAAAAAAAAAAAAAAAAAAAAAAAAAAAACAAAAAAAAAAACCAAACCACACGAGTAAATTGTACTAAACATGCATTTTTTCTAAATGCTTTATATGAAATATTCTTTGTTCAGAAACACCAGTTTATTACAGAATTGTGAACTTGTCGCAGTGGAAACATCACAGAAACTGAAGACTTTTGAACAGCTCTGGCTCTGTCTGGCACAATCTCTATATCAATGAATTAAACATTTGTACATGTTCTGAACTGTCCTTGCTAACTAGTTATTTCCCAAAAGTGGAACAGAAGTTATTTAAAAGCAGAGATGTATTTTGTGAATTCTTGGAAATGTGCAAGCTCTTCACATCTTGGTTCAGTATTGGTGCACATGCCACGAGCTACTTAGGCTTTGCATTTCCTTGAGGCCAAAGAAGTTTTTAAGGCCAGAAGGACATCTGGGGTCTATTCTTAGCCACCATTAACTTGGTTAATGAATGGAATAAATAGCATGTGCAACATCATGGGAAAATCTGCCTGCGAGGAACAGGCTGTGCAGCTGACCATGTCTGCAGCTCCTTGGGGTAAGGGTGCTTCACAGGGCACCCCAGTTTTTGGGATTATGAAATGTGTGGTGCCCAGCTGAGAAAGCCAGGCAGCTGGCATGGTAAGAGTGGCAGGTGGCTGCTTATCTTTCCAGCAGAATGTCTGAGATTTGGGGATTTGTGATTTTGTTAGGACACAGGATTGGGATTTCAGGATATTGTGATTCCTTTGCTCCCTTCATTTTTTTCATGAAGGAGCTGCTTGCCTTCTCCATTCAGTGCCCCTGTTGGTACACAGGGATGCTGATCCCTTCCACAGAGATACTGCAGGGGTTAATTAGCGTTGGCAAAACGTTTTGAAATGGATGATTGAGAAATGGATGATTGAGAGATGAAAGCTGAATTAGTACCTGCATAAGGAAATCTTCCTCTGTAGTCTTATCACTCTGGGAAACTCCCTGTGTACCCAAGGATGCTGCACAGGCCGCTGGGCACTCATCTCCCCACTGCCTGGAGTGTCCTCCAGGGGACTCATTTATTGCAGAATTCCACTTTAGTCTGTGTGATGTGAGCCCCAGTACATGCCACAGAGAGAACAGCCTGGCAGCAACCAGCGAGCACTGTGGAAATACCAAATGAGCTGGAGCTTTTTCTTTCTCTGGAGCTCTTGTCCTGCTCTTTTCCAGCAAGTTGGGCACCTACAGAACCCAGAGCATCTCAGGAGGAAGAAGGGGAAGGTGGAGCCCATTCCCATGGGTGAGAGACAAGGAAGGAGGAGGTGTCCTCGAGTGAGTGCCCACAAGACACCTACAAGAGCTCTGTGCATGGTGGTGCACACATCTCTCTACTTTACCAGGGCCTCTGATGAGCTGTCAGCAGAAGTTTTCTGCTGGTGGGTCTCTTTGAGACACTGTTCTCCTGCCTGTGGACAAGCAGATGGTTGTGGAGATCCCACAGGGCATTTATGGCTGCTCTCACACTTCTTTCAACTACTGTGCATACTCCTGAGCTTGGTAGAGAGCCTGAAAGGCAGCAAAAGAGTGACCAGGTAGTTCTCCATTATTCAGATAATAATTTTTATTTTATTCACAGAATAAACCCCTGCATCAGCACCACAGTTCAATGAAAGATGCCAGAAGAAACAGGTCTGGAGACCACGCCCATCCCATCTGATCCCAAAATGTCTCTGTTTCACTGTGGATCATCTCCCTTCCTAGCATCAGACCATTGTGAAGGCCACACGTGCTGCATGGGCACAGCAGATCCGGAGCCTCTCAACAGCAACAGGGATCTCTCCTCTCTCCTCAGCTCATAGGGCACAGGGAGGTGCTGGCCTGATGGAAAAAGGATTACCACGGTTTGGGGTGGAGCCATCCCCAAGCAGAGGAGCAGCTCTAGCAGAAGGTAAAGCAGGAGCCCTCCCAGGAGCATCGGCAAGGCTCTGCTACCCGAGTGCTGTGGCCCCATGGGGTATAACCACTGGCACTGCTGCTTGTCCCCTGCTCCTTCCAGCTAAAGCTTACCTGCAGGAAGGATCTTATCTCAAAAACCAAAACTGTCGCCGGCCAGCTTTGCTCGGCCAGGGCCAGCCACGAGATGGCAGCAGCCTCGTGTTGCCGGGCTGGGATTTGGCTCCTTCCCTCGTTCCCCACTCCGGCTCCTCCCTGCCCCTTTTCACGTTGCAGATGAGGTCTCCAGGTCTGACGAGCGCCAAGAAACCTTCTTCCATCCTCTGGGCTGAAGGAGAAGTGACCCCGAGGAAGGCTCTGAAAGAAGATCTGTGAGCTCAGCTCCTATCTTTGCAAACAAGCTGATGGAGCAGAACCGCCTTGTCTCCTGATCCCCATCCCCCAGGGTGTTCATGGGATGTCTCATCCAAAGTGAATGTGCACAATTCTTTCAGGAGCTCAGGTTTCAACCTAGTGGATCAAAACTGCTGACGTTTCTGAAGGGCCATATGGAAATTAAGTCCCTGTCATTCTTCCTTTCACTGCAGCTACTCAGGGGCGCTGTGTGATGACTTGGACAACGAGCAGCAGGTGCTCAGTGATTTGTATTTCACACTTGTTCTTGCTGAGGATGCAAGCTCCTTCCTGCTGAAGAGAAAATGTTCTGCAGTCTTCAGCCTGGGATCCTGGCCAGAGCTGGAACAGTTTCTTTTGCAATGCAAAGCTAATTCTGGTGTGTGCTGAGACATCTGCACACAGATAAGGTGTGTGCTTTGCTCTGGCTCCCAGCTAACACAGCCAAGGCCATGGAGAATGGGTTGGCTTTTGCTCCCTGACGTGTGGCCCAGGCAGTGTGGGACTGCTTGGTGGTGCTGTAGCAGAGCCTGGTGCAGATGCAGTGGAAGGTGACAGAATCTCAGGGTAAGGCTATTGGAGAGGGACCTCTGGAGGTCTTGTCCAGCCTCCTGCTCAAAGCAGGGGTAACTTCCAAGTCATATCACGCTGTTCAAGGCCTTGCCCAGCTCTTTTGAAAATCTCTAAGGGTGAAGATTTTGTGAAGTCTCTGGACAATGGAGACTGAGATCAGAGAAGCTGAGCCTGGGTTCAGTGGGGTGACCCCCCTGGTTTGCTCTGGTAAGGATATAAATAAACAATATGGTTGCAATTTCAAGGCCAGTTCTGAATAACCACGTAGGCCTGGTCCCCAGATGAAAACTGTAACTAGTTCCAGACTTCCCTCTGAGCTCAGTACTTTTGGGAGCTAGAGACTGCATTTGGCCCATTGTGCAAAAGAGAGCCACAAAGCTGCAGCCAAGGAGACTTTCTTAAGCTGGACTATAAATCCACATTATTTGCATGGACAAATGACCCAGGAACCTGAGGCTGAAACTTCATGATTTTGCATTAAGCTCTTGAGGCAGAGTTCCAGCCTTTTTCCTGGCTCTTGCTTTGTGGCAAAACTTCAGCTGCTGTCACTGCATGGGAATGGATCCAGCTGAAAAATACCCTGCCTGAGGAAAAGATCTTTTTTTATCATGATCACTGTGATGGCTTGAGGAAGAGGGACACATGGACTGTGTAAAGATGGAATTGCCCCTTTCAGTGACAGCCTGTGCTTTGACCACTTAGGAAGATAGTGAAACTGCAGCTGGTAAAAAGGGCTGATCATACAAGTCCTACACAAAAATTTTCTTCAACAGGAGCTTATGGAGCACAGCAAAAAGGATTAATAAGCCAATGTTATGGGTTGAGCTGCAAAAGGAAGCACATGCTTCACGACTCCAAGCTCTTTCTGCTCATGTGGAATGGATTAAAGATAAAAACAACCCTGTAATGCACTTTGCTCCTGATCTGTTTTGATCCTGTCTATCTTCTTCTCCAGAGAAGCTTGTGCAGGCACTGTTATCTGTAACTCAAAACTGTGGCTCATATTCCCAGGCTAGCTCATGGGATCCACTTCTCCTTGCCAGAGAATGAGGGATCACTGGGTACCAGCTGCAGTGGTTCAGGAATGTTTAGTGCCAGCCTGGTTGTTTTCTTGCGGGATCTGCCTATTGGCATCTGTATTTTGAATATGGAATACTGGGCCAGACAGAAACATAGTGACTCTGCTAGTGCTGAGCAGTGGATCTCCTGTGGGACAAGCACCAAATCAATCTTTGATGTCTGTTTAGCTGGAATCATGGACAGCACAAACATGCTCCTCACACAACAACAGCTTTATTACTCAGAAATACTTTGAAATTCCAGATCCTGTTCCTATTCTTTTTGCCTGCACCGGTGTGAATGACCGCTGTTCTCCTCCCCACTGAGATGTCAGCAGATCCTGTAGCTTGTTTTCCACTGAAATGTCTCTTCTTGGGTAAATATTACATCTGGGCTTGCTTTGCCAGTGGCTTTCCTACCTGGAGTTTGTACAACAGGTCAATGCCCTGCCGGGAGATAAGAGGAATACTTGCTGCCAATGCTGTTTGCTGATGTGAAATGCCACCCTGCTCTTCCATCATCATTTGCTCCTCCAAAGTTTTTTGAATGTTGCTTAAGTCCTGGAGGTTTTTGCAAATTGAGGGAAATTTAAGACAAGATGTCAAATGTTTGGACAGAGCAGAAAGACTTGTTTATTGCAACAGCCATGACTTGTAAATTATTCATCTGTGTGTAATTGAAACGCTCAGATCCCCAAAGGTCATGTTACAAAGAGTGAGGTGAAGGATCAGCGAGCTTCCAGCAAAACAGGAAGGTTGGCAGGTCCTGGGGAAGCCTTCTCCATTCACCTGCATCTGTTTCGTGGCAGTGCCTTTTTTCTGGTGAAAATTGAGTTTTCAAGAAGTGAAGCAATGTACAAACACGTGTCTGGGAAGGGGAGAGGCCATGAATAAAGTACCTTCCTCTTCCCTCCAGTGGGAAACACATGTTTGAAGCCTGTTGCAGTGGATCTATACAGTCTGAGGGCACAGCCCGAGTATCAGCACACATTGGACCCTGGGCTCTGTGAAATGGAGAAGAAGTTCCAAGGACCAAGAGGGACCAGAATAGCTGTGTAAGCAGAAAATGATCCAGTGCAGTTCCACTCAGCAGTCCTGTCTCCATACAACACCAAACTTCAACTAATTAAAAAGAGCAGATGCTAGCTGGAACATTAATTGGAACAGATATCAACTTTTCTCTGTGCTTAAATCTGTATTCTAGCTCTCTCATGCCAGGTTTGGAGAGAAAGAGTTAACCCTTCAGGTTGTTGTTGTGGGATTTTTTTTTTTTTTTTTTTTTTTTTTTTGGCAGAGCATGTCCTTGGAAGAGAGCATAATGAAAGTTCTATGAATAGGTTTGGATCCCGTTTTTTTTTTTCAGTTGAAAACAATTCTCTGTCTAATAATGCAGCGCCATCATCACAAACAGCACTCTCAACCCTTCCCTCTCACTGTGCTGTCAGTAAAGTGATCTTGCTCAGCTTTCAGAGGCCTTGTAGCAGTGCTGGGCACAGAGCCAGCTGCTCTTCTTCCCTGTATGAATTGCATTAGATGGACACCTCTTTGTTAACCTGGGCTCATTTGTTCCCCTCAGCCTGTATTCCTTCTCATTAGACTTGATGTATGATCAAGAAAAGAAAGTGCAAAGAGCTCAGCTGACATCTGATACACTTATAAATAGCCTTTCTGCCCTGCTGCAGTTCTGTGGCCATCCCAACGGGAGTGAGCACTTGGTGTATCACACTCTTCCTGGAACTGGGATGCTATCGAAGATTTTCCTCTAAAGCAGCCAAATTTGGATGTTGGAAACTGGGTGCTTGAATGCAGGCACCACTGGTCTGTTCCATATTGGCAGTTCCTTAGTCTTGTCCTAATCTCCAATTCTTAAGAGATCAGGCAAAGGCATTGTTTGAACAGTGAGGCTCTTCCACTGTTCCAAGCCCTCCGTGATCCCTGTAGCAGTGAGGCTCCCTCAGCACCATGACAAGCCCTGTACTTTTTCTAAAACTTTGCTCACACTCCACCCCAAGCTCCTGTTACTCCCTTCATTCCCAAGCCCTATTTCCTCCCTCTCCCTCAGGGCTGGATCCTATCTCCTCCCTGGGCTCACTGAGTTCATCACAGGTCTGGCAACCCTTGTTGAGATGTGTCCTGTGTGCTGTCATGAGCACCAGTGTTCCCATCTGAACACACTCTGCTCTGGCTTCCAGTGGATGATGAGGAGAGTATCCCTTAACCCCTTTACTTTTGCTGACCTCCTTGGGTGATAACTATTGTCATTTCCCACACCTTACTGGCACTGAATGGGCCTCATATTCAGCTCCCAAAGAGATTGCCAGGGAATGATCAATTTAGGCAGGGGAGCTATGGAGGATTACAGGGCTGATTGAGATATTACAGATTATTCCTGAATCATACTCTTGTCTGATGAAAGAAATTATTCAGATCCTTCCAACACAATTTGACCTGGCAGATGCAGCCGACAGCCAGCTCAGCACTGTGTGAGGAGCTCACTATGTTTTGCAAATGGAATAAAGTTCATTTAACACAGCAGGCCTGTATTTGCTGTTAACTCGAAGGTCTCTCACCTGAAAACAACCTGCAAATCACTTACCCCATCACTGCTTGCAGGAGGAATTAGCTCCTGAGAGCTGCTGTTGGGGAAGGAGGTGGGGCTTTCTGAGGGATGACCCCCTTTCCCAAGGCAGAGTAAAGGTCTTTTTCCTGTGATGCTGAGTTTGTCATTGAAATACTCACAGTCCCTTGTTCTCTTTTTGTATAGCCAGGACTCTGCCCCAAAACCACTCTCCTGCCTCTGGGCTGTCTCTGTCAACAGTGCTGCCAATATTGGTCTTAATGTAATTTTGCTTTTTTTTTGGCTGCTTTTTCTTCCTAGGTGGGAATGCTGTCACTACCAAATGACACCTGTTTTCCATGGGTCTCTTTAGCCTGTAGAAAGATTGTTCTTTCCCCCTAGCTCAGCTACAGGCAGGCATCTCCTGAGGCCCGTGGATCAGGTAAGCACCTCCTCCTGACTCAGTTCTTCTGCTGAGCTCTCGGTGCCTGTCTGCCTTCTGCATGTCTTGTTGACTACTCACAGCCACAGGTGAATGGCTCACACCCTGACGATGGTGGATTTTCAGACATTTACAGGTTAGGAGGTGAAACGGGAATTTGTTTCCTATTGTTTGCCTCCCATGTTCTGTCAACATCTTCCCCCCCAGCACCCACCCCAATGTCACTGCCTGCCAAGTCTCTGCTGTGATCAGCTTTCTCTGCTGGGTAACTTCAGGTTTAGACTCTGCCAGCCCGTTTTCTTCCAGCAGGAGACAAGCTGCCATGCATCCTCCAGAGCCCGTGTCCCTGCAGCCCATCCCAGTCCCTTGCAGTGCCCCAGAGCCGTGTTTGCAGCCGAGCTGCCCGGAGAGAGCATTAGCATTGCTGCATCTGGACAGAGGGCAGCCTTGTGATTGCTCCTTGAGCTGTTCTTTGTGGCTGCTAACTCTGCCCTCATGCCCCAGAGATGTAAGGTGTGTCCTGAGGCCAGACTTTCCCCTGTGGAAAATGGGGCAACGGTTCTCAGAGCCTGCAATGGGATTTTTCTGGGGCATGGCAACGATCTCACCTGGCTGAATGCAGACTTGTGCCAGGTTAAGCCATCAGCCTTGAATGCCTTCTCTGTTCTTGTTCCAAATCAGCTTCTAAATTAGAAATCCTACCACCTGCGTTTGATATGGGCAGGGATTTTGCAATACTGGGGGCTGAGTCAGAC